TATTATATATATATATATATATATATATATATATATATATATATATATATATATATATATATATATATATATATATATATATATATATATATATATATATATATATATTTCTAAGTGTAAATATAAAATAATAAATATTTTAAAACAAGAAATCAGTTTATTAAAAAAAGAGGTTATAGAGAATTAAGTAAAAAGTACCACACTAATTTTATGGCAACAGAAAACGTTTTCAAAATTATTATCATAATTTACTACCTGAATGTAGTGTTGTTTGATAATATGTAAACCTAATATTATTATCTATTGTCTCAACACGTTATTGTGTTAAACAATATTAGACGCGGTATGTGTCTCTTAAACTGGTTTTAAGCCGTTAGGAAAGTATGTAGAAATCAAACAGAATTACTTAGCTTGTTGTTCTGCAGATACCGTGTCGTGTAAGCGTATAAAAAGTGTGAAAATCGTAATTTCACTTCATTGCTTCTGTTGCATTGTTCATATAAATTACCTGACACTTGGTACATATGTGGCTTTGTTTCTTATTTGTATTATTGAAGATAAGGAAGATGATACATTGAAATTTTGCTCCACATAGAAAATCAATGACTTCTATCGTAACAAAATTCATGTGAAATCGTAACAAAACCGATATGAAACTTGTCTTTTAATTTTGTAATCTATTGTTATTTGATAAAAGCTTGAGTTTAGATCCATGTGTTTTAGTTAATTCATGTTTTTCATTAGATGCCAGTTATGACTTTCCGTTGAATCTTATAATGTATAAAGTTATATTCGTACCTCAACTTTTGTGGTAATGAAAGTCATTAAAAATTTTGGTATTTTTATGTCAGAGATCATACTAGATAGTCGTTTTCAGGACACACATGCAATAAAAGCTGTGTTGCTTTTATTGCATTTGCAACAAAACATCGTGTTAGTTACCTACTTCGAATTTAAATTTCTGTCGCAAGTATCCTAGCAGCAATTGTGATTCCGTTGCAATCACATGGTTAGCTATAGCTTCGTGATTAAAAACACAGCGAGTCTTTATTACTCGTTTTGCATTAATTTTCTATGTTTTTGATAATCGTGGATTAAGCCAATTGTGAAAAGGCATCTGATTCAAAATAGGTGGGCAGATGAGCAGTGTTGCAGTTCCTTCAGCGGATTTATTTATCGCTACATCGAAATGCTGAAGTGATAATACAACTAAACTGCGATATCTATTTAGTCATAGTGCGGAAAGATGTAAGGTGTTATATCCCTGAAGCTTTAAATATTCACAATTTTAGTTCAATTTCATTGGTACCTTTTCAAAGGTATGATCTGCACAGATGGAGTATATTTTGTACGCGGAAATCAATATACGTTTATGTTTTCCTCATATTTGCGAGCTTATTATTATTATTAGGTTGAACTTAAAAAGTTCAACGAGAAAATAATTGTTAGCGTAATTTTAGTTTAGTCATAATATATCTAAAATTACATTCTCTAACATGCTATACTAGTACACGGCTTACACAAAACGTCCATATGTTGGACATTCGTCAACATCCTCAAGTTACCAGCCACTAGTCATTGTATTATATGAGACAACTCGATATTAATTTCGATCAGCAACAATGTTCGAAAGTTATATGTAAATAATATATGATTGTTTAATAATTTTGTGAGGTCTTGGAGAGGTCCGAGCACGCAAGAGTGACGTAAAAATAAATGTATACGTAATGCGTCTATTATCAACAAACGGGTCAATGTCGGGGCGTATGACCGGTATTTAAATCTATTGCATTGCTCCGTTATTGTACTATTATCAGTATCCTGGTATATATCAAAACAAAAACAATTTTGAGCACTGACCTTTTGTTTTCAAGTGAACTACTTGAGACGTAACTGTAATTGCTTAGATTTTATGTGCTTGTAATGTTAATAATGTTAAAGCCCGGGTTTACGTCCGGGTTTTGGAAGCTAGTATAGCGAACAGAAACTAAAACTTTTATTATTTCTTAAGCTTATTATAGATATAGAAATAATGGATATTTTTTTATAAACATATCTACATGTTTATAAATAACAAAAAACAATCAAGTTTAATCCAAATTAATGTTTTATTTTATTTACGTGTTCATGATACGTAAATTGTACTGATACTGTTCTACAACCCTCTATAAATAGTGATTTGAATTATGAGCTCTAAATACTAATGTTTAAATTTTCTATATTTAAATCAATTATTCTAGGGACTTCAAACTCGATTGTTTAATATTTTGTTATTAAGAATTAAGTACTTATGAAAATGCCACAAAAAATAAGTAAGGGACAATCTTCAATCTTTATACTTAGTCATTTTATCATATTAGCCGTCTGTCCACTGCTGAGCATAGATCTTTCCCTTGGGGGGTTTTCCACTAGTTGCCACGCTTGGCAGACGGGTTAAGTACCGCAGTTAGGCTTTAGCATGTTTTAACAGGACTTATCCTTTGATTATTAAATTCCCTTAGTCTTCTTTTACGATATCTGCAAGAAAGGAAGGGCTAGCCTATTCTATACTAGGACCATATGGCCACGATCACATATGGTAATACAAATAAAATATAATTATGTTATTATGTGGTACAATATTAGCATATATTATGACTAAAATTACGAAATACCTGAATCCCATTTACCAACTAAATGTACATTCAGGTTTTAATTATTTCTGTTTCATTTAGGTAGAACAATATTGGACAAGAAAAAGGCAACTTGTGAGTTTGACTTGGTACTCGAGTTAGTTTAGAATTTTATCATAAGAATAAATGTTATTTAACAATAAACAAGTATAGTACGAGTATAAAAACAAACTCGCTGTCGCTGCCTGTCCGTCCCTATGTATGCTTAAATCTTTAAAACTACACAACGGATTTTGAAGCGGATTTTTATAGTAGATAGAAACTCTGAAAATTTTAAAGGTTTCTAATGTGATGTGATGTATTGTGCACCCGTGCGAAGCCGGGGCGGGTCGCTAGTGCGATAATATATACATTGCTATCACAATATTTACTAGGTATGTATGTGATAAGTAATAGGTACTGGAGTCACCATTGAATTCGCCGCTTTAGATAATGGTAGTAGGTCAATAAGACGATACTTAATGTTATATTGTACTTACTAGCTTTTACCTGTGATTTCGTCCGCGTGACGGGGATAAAAAACTTATGTCCTGGGATGGATGCAATATAGTGTATACCAAATTGCATAGTGATTACTTTAACCGTTAAGATCCTAAGAGAATACAAACTCATTGTCACATTTATAATATTAGTAAGAAATTAATTTAAAATGTTTTATTAAATATTAAATGTAGGTACATTATATGGACTATTAAATGACAAATCTAAGATCTATATTTTATGTTAAATATGTTAATAATGCTAAATAAAATCAATAACTTTACCAGAGAGAGACTTTGTACAAAAGTCGTTTGTTTGGGTACCTTTGACCCATTCATGTTTCTACCGTGAAGCAGTTGTGTTTGCATGGCTGTGTTTCAGTTTGAAGGGTGGGATATAATAGTGAATTTACAGGGTATAAAGGAATAATACCTGAGTCCTCTGGAATGGCAACGCATGGGAGGTATCATGGGCGAAACAGTATACTCTGTTATGTCCATGGTACTGCTCATGTCTATAGGCGACGGTTACTACTGTCCATCAGGTGGGCCGTCAGTTTGTTTGCCATTCTAAGTGACATAAAAAAAAATACTTAGAGCACGAGTACACTTGCCACCAATCCTTTTCATTTACAGAATGTCGTAAGATCAGTAACTGTCATTAGAGTGTTGCGAAAACAAAAGGTATTAATAACTTCTTATTAGTTACCAAGGGACGTATCTATTGTTTTCAAATACACCATTTATTGTTAAATAGAACACACTGATGTCTAATGTTTCTTAAATTGTGAACAATGTGTATTTTTGTTTTAGTTTTCCGGCTTTGTTATCACTAATAATATAATCATGAGATTTATTTCAAAACAAAAAAAACATTCAGAATACGTATCCTATTTGTGGAACAAAGTTTAGTTAAAATTTGTATATGATCACCATGTAAACATTGTCCTTTAAAATAAAATTGTTATTTAAAAATTGGTGAAGATATTGCGTGACATACACAAAAAATGCATTTGTTTTGTGAAATTATTTTTTAACGTCAGTCGAGAAATATGATAATATTATTTTGAACAAGATTATGGTCAGCATATATTTTTAGATATGTAATTTTTCATCTAAGTATCACTTAACTAAATTTGGAGCTGGAAGAAACAAGGCATTTTATATTTAGTTCTTTTTGTAAAACAAAATTTTTATTACTCTTTACCTAATTATAGAAAATTTTATTGGCTTCCGTGGTATTTATATTCACATAAAGCTATTTATAGAGTCACTTGTGCATTTCAACATTTAATTTTCTTTCCTCTAAAGACCTTTCGTTAGAGTCGGGCCGTCAGCGAGCGGTCGTTCCAATCACGTCAATTGGCTCAATCGTTCAGAAATGACGCTCGTCTTGACGTCATACCCTCTTTGTCTGGCTGGAAAACTAACGGCATTGTCCGTTATGAGTGCTGAAAAAATATACCTACTAACTAAATTGTTGCCGTGAATATGTATGTAGTATTCCATTTCTTAATGAATGCTTGTATGTCTATGAACGACAGAGATAAAAAAAAAGGGCAGGATTGTATAGACGAGAGCAACGCAGCCTAGCTCTAGTAGTTTACTATGCAAAATAAAGCTTTGTAGAATCATGGTATAAGTAATAGTAAAACTAAGAATAATTTCATCATATTTACTCAGATCTTTGACCTCATTCTCACTTACATTAGGTTAAGTTGTGGTCAAACACGCTCAGTACTATTACTACTACATTCTATTTCCGTACTATATAATATTGTCAAGACTGTTTTTTTTTTAGAGAACAAAATTATACAAGCTCACTTTCTTTTTTGTTTTATTGTTGCAGGTAGCAATTAAGATAATAGATAAATCGCAATTAGATGCCAGTAATCTTCAGAAGGTTTACAGAGAAGTGGACATTATGAAGAGACTGGACCATCCTCATATTATTAAGCTATACCAGGTAAGTTTATTTATTCTTCGGAGAATATAATGTTTAATTAATTAGGTATACACAGCTCAGTTACATTTCTGTTGAGCCATTGTTTCACATTTGCGTATTTAAATATTCGGTTTCTATACATAAACCAGTATATTATTATAATTTTATTATATTTATTTATTATTATAATAATAATTAATTTATACCATTCTGTTATTTTTCCTCTGGTTTTGATCTTTAAATAGCCAAAGTGTAATTTTAGAAATTAGGCTGTAGTCTGTATTCTACCAATCAATTTTTAATATATTGAACTTGTTATATGAAAACTACATTCACAACAAAGTATACGTAAATCTGCGCAGAAGTTACACCAAAATCATTGTTATTATCTTTATTGTATACAATTTATATTGGACATATTAAAAGATTTAATATATAATATCATATTATGCACCAGTCTACGGTGCTTTATCCTGGAAATTAACATTGATTGTGACGTTCTCAACCTATCACCATGCAGATATTTAACATTGACAGATAGATAATTATGTAAATTACATTTGGAGTAGGGAGATAATATTATTTAATTATAAAAAATCAGTACCGACATCAAACGCCGTCTAGCACTACAATTGGAATGAATATACGTCATTGGTATTTTTACTACTTGTCGTATCTGAGCACTAGATTATACTAACGAAGGCCACTAAAAATCAAAACAGTGTCTACCTACGTAATTTCTTGAAATAACATTTGTTTATTCAATTGTAATTGCGTGTTTATTATTTTTTTAAGCGATTTCAATTATTTATTCTTTGTTATTTTATTTTTTAAGCGATTTTTCAATTTAACGGTGTTTTTTTTGTTAACTCGGCTTTCGCTAGTTCTGAATCGATTTTGAAGATTCCTTTTGCAGTTGATAAGGTTTAATCTTGTGTTGATCATATACTAATTTAGTTATTGATTGTAGGTTTTTTTAAACAAAAACTAACTTGTGACAATATGTGTCAGTTTTTAGTGCATCAGCATATGCGTTGAAATGAATGAAATGGTTCATCAAATGTGCCTTGATAAGAATTTATTATTATTTACCTCCGTTGATGATAGATTAATCGATTAAAATTTAGATAGATTCAGATTTTTCTTTTTTATATTGAATAGTAGAGCGTATTATGTTTTAAAAATTTTTGTGTGTAGGAGTGACAAGATGGGAAAGGATAGAAACTACGGCGCTTATGCGATTCATATATGGCGTTTAACGTCTTCGCCCATAAAAGAATTAGTTGATGAAGGCTTAAAATGGTGATGGTAACTAGGTAACTTTTTTTGTCATGTATAAGAGTATACCTAGTCATTATATCAGTCAACAGTACTAAGAGGTCAAGAGCAATCGTAATGAAACAACAGTAGTTATACTATTAGCGGAACAAATTCGTGCGAATTACGTACGTACACCCAGTTATTGTTGTACAGTTAATGGAGTGTATGTACAGTGTACGCGTATTACTGAGTGCACATGCCTTGCTCCCAATAATGATACAGTAATGTTACCTCGTTACCCCAAACGTAGTGTAATACCCGATCCTACGTCGTTACTTACCGTTGGCGTACAATATACCCGTACTTTCCCGTATAATGTGTATGGGTGGTCATGTATGTCATATTTAAGTTATACCTACTTACCCATAATAAGGTACAGACATAAATTGGGAAATAATGACCATAGAATACCTGAAAATATCTCGTGTAGTTATTATACCTATCATAATGTTTTGTACGAATTATTTAAATATTTACATTTTATCATAGTAGTACGTCACTGTATACTCGCTATGTTTGCTAATGTTATAAACATAAAAAATAAAATAATATTGAAACTAGACACTGTCTGTAGCCTATGTACATTTTATACAAAAAAATGTACATAGGCTACAGACAGTGTCTAGTTATAATAATAAGAGTCCTAATACGATTAATAGATGGCAAAACAAAAATTTTTAGAAATTTTGGCTGATTATTTGGATGTTTGTTTTGACATCACACAAAAAAGATTGTGTTTCTTTTGATTTTGTTTTTGATTGATTGTGCTTCTGAATGTTTAACCTAAAATCTGGTATAATATGTTTTATCTTGATATCTCATCTAGAAGTGGTCTATTTCATTGCATAATTCTGAAATACAAATAAGAATATAGATATCAAATGAATATATTCGTAAGCATATTCGAAAATTTTTGGACATTTCAAAAAGTGACTGGTAGAAAATGATACTTCTATCAAGATCGCATTTTGTGCCATATTTTTTAGTTCATTAAGATAATGTTTTATTTATATAATATAAATACATTTTTTATTATACATACATAAATAAAATGTAGTCTACAATACATTATTATGATATAAGGGTTACTTATGATAACACTTTTTTGTAACTATACAATTCGCGTGTTTATACGTCGTAATGTGTCCCATAGGACACGTAGTCGACACAACATTATTTGGTCACTTAGATAGGTTTCATAATGATGTTGAAGTATTATGGTTTTTATGTCGTAAAAGAAATAATAAGTATCATATTTTTATAGTTTATGCAGTACCTTTGTCCTTATAATGATAACCATTAAGTGACTTTCAATTAATTTATATTTTTATTAAATGTCAACTTGCTCATAGAATGATTTGGGATATCGAAAGTTTACTATATTTAAAATTAGAGACAAATTCAATAAAAAATATTAGCAAAGACGTGGTATCTATAGAAGCTACAGATTATTAGCAAAGATGTGATCAATAATATCACAGCCAATTATCGTCCCTGTTCCACTACTGGGCATAAGTCTCCTTTTATACATAGGATACCTATTTAACATAATGATCTCTCGGTAGAGACATCATCATGACAATTAATTGACTAAGGAATGACGTTATTAGAGTTGCAAATATCATTGTGTTACTTGGGAAACGTATCTTCTATATTATTTATTCAAATTCACGTTATATTATCGTTACGTTAGTAGGGCACATTCTGTGAAAAGCAATATCAACTAGTCTTTTGTTTTTAAAACAATTAGTACATTCCTGTACAATAACGTGTACGTAAAGTGTTATATGTACATTGTAATTAAGCAAAGCAAATTCAAATTCAAAGCAAATTTATTACAGTTCGCCCGGTTTCGTAAAATAAAATTGTAAACTAGAATTTACTGAGTTACTCAATAATTGAAGGACTGGTATTTTTATGTAATGACTTCTTTGTGTAATCAATCATTGTAAATAATAAATGGGCTTAATTCTGTGGTTGCATTGTTTTTATGGAATTCAATGTTGATGATAATTTATAGTTATAACAATTTAGTGTATATTAAAACAAGCAATGGATGATGATTTTCATGGCAGATTTTATGCGTTCCACTCTTAAGAACAAAGGCTTTGTTCATGTTTATAGAAGATATTTATCTACCATTTTCTATCAAGCGGATCGACAGCTTGTTTACTATTTCCACTAGTACAAAAAAGTCAGTTAGTTACTACCCAACGACTTTCTTTAAACCACAATTATTTACTTCGAGCAATAATAATAACTAGATTACCATTCAAGTTCTATAAACTGCCGAGCGAATAACGCCTCACTTACAGAGAAAGTGCCTATTTATAATTGTTTAAAACTTTGCTTTATCATTATGTATTAAGAATATTTATATTTTTAAATTACCATTTTCCATATAATATTTAACTAGTTTAAAATCTTTATTCCTATGTCTAAATAATATTTGAGAAAAGACTTACTGTGAAGATAGATTTAACTTTGGCTCATATTGTTAGTCAAAGATTAGATGTCACTGAATATTATTGCATTAATAAACACTTATATAATAAACACCACTTTCCAAATATTTTATAATATTATACATTTCATATAAATAAATATAGCACATATACAACATCAATCAACTGAACTATGTTAATTGAGTGCACCTAGTTATTTTAACTACGTTTCATCTGACAGACGACGGAGAGTAGTTACTACTTACAAAATGCAATTAGTTTAGTGACTAAAATAATTATTATTTACAATGGTAGTAATAGTAATTTATATGTACATATAATATTTTTATAACTAATAGTGGGAAATAATATAATTAGGCATATTGTATTCCAATACAACTTCTAACCAGAGGGAAACTGTACAAAAGTACATTTATATGTCGTGAAGCAGTTGTATTTGAATGTATTTGATTGAAACGGCTGTGTTTCGGTTTGGAGGGTGGGATATGGCAATGAAATTACAGGATACAGGGGCATAATACCTAATCCTTTCAAGTATGGCAACGCATACACGGTATAATGGGCGACATAGCATACTCTGTGATGTCCATTGTACTACTGTTAATATCTATAGATGACGGTTACCACTATCTATCAGGTGGGCCGTCAGCTTGTTTGCCATTCTAAGTTGCATAAAAAAAGACATAATAAAGATGTAAACAAGCTAATAATTTTACTTAAAAATAGATACTTTGCCGAAGTCCAATAATAGTATAAATCAAAGTCGAAAAATGAATTGATTTATTTATTAGTTATTGCATTTAAAGAGTGTTTTTGTGGTAATTTTAATAAAACTTGTTTACTTTTTTCATTAAGTCCTGTTGAAACAACCCAAACCTAGTAATATCTGCTTTTTCTACGAGCGACAAAATGATATTTGAAAGAGTATATTAACACTATAGAATAATATAAGAATACCGTTTGCCATACAAAATGAAGTTCTAGCTAGATAAACAGGAAATTATTTACTACATAAGTCGAATCTGTGCTCACAATGTATGTTTGTATCTCACTTTGACAAATTGTTAAGGTGATTTTCCTATTTTCACATTAAACATCCGACATCTGCGGAAATTGAATTTGGTCCGATGTCACAGTCCTCTGTTCCGATGCGGTACACACCTCACCTACATTTCAGTAGTATTTATTTACAACAGAATAATAGTCTATTAACCTATTTCTGTCCGTTTATCAGTA